CTTTCAATTTTTAGGCGATTCTTCTGAATCCAGAAGGTGGAACCAAAACTTTGGCCTATAATATACATCTCGACTTCAGTCCCTTTCCCATCGTTGTAACGTGGCTGCCCTGTGTCTTTTAATATTTTCATGGCAAGTGTTCTAATGTGCTTTCCTATTTAGTACCCACTAGATTGAAAATTCGGTCTCACCGTTTTACTGTTGAAATATCCCGATGTAACTATAACTTCTATTCAAAGAGTTTCTTTTCATTCACTTCTCGCCTGCGGATCTCTCTTCCGACATCCTGTTTCCCTGCCGCTTATGATCTTCAAAAATGTATGGAATTAACACATTAATTCCATTTATATTTTACGCGCGCGCGAGTTTCCTCCCTTCCTTTCACACTCGTGCGTGTGTGTGCGCGTGTTTTCACCCCTACCTTCCACTCACAGCTAAACATAGCAGTAACCTCGCTAGCTCTTACTGATGAACTCACAATAGATTTTGAATTTTTTCCCGCGCGTTTTTCGGCGTTTCAAAACGGCCAGCGTTTGCAACCAGTTGCCTCTCGACTTTCGACCTGACTAGATGGGCAACTCATTTATTCCGTGCCCTTAACCCATATGCGGGCCGGAATATCTTATTTCAACAATGGCGACTTCACACTCTACCAAGACTTCTTCTCGTCTTGAAGCTAATCGCAGGTCAGACCTTCTCCGTTTTCTACCAGAAGACGTTAGAGACACACGACACGGTCGTGAGCAAAACTTCGTATTCAACTAATAATGGCTTATTTCTATCCCTCGTCAGCGAACCAATAAATACAGACAGGGATATCCTACTGACGAACAACTTGCTAATCGCAGATCAGACCTTCTCCGTTTTCGACCAGAAGACGTTAGAGACACGACACAGTCGTCGGCAGAAACTTCGTATTCAACAGGTAACCAATAAAAACACCAAATAATTAATTCTGCGTCCTTTTGGCTCGTCATTCAAAAATTCTCCTACGAGACGATGCAACTCCAAGTATTGACTTTTCGTCCCTTTTGGCCTCGTCATAAATCTGTTTTGAACCAGTACCAAAAAAAGGAAAAAAAAAATGTATACATAACATTTCACTCACATTAGCAAAAAACTCGCAGTGAGTATAATTTTCCTTGTATGTATATTATCATGTACATTGACTTATCTGGAACCTTCTTCTCCTTCAAGAACCTTTCCCGCCATAGCCATCTTGTTTCTATTTTTGGCGCGGAACATTTTCATTGATCCCTACCACGGGATAAGTTACTTGTTTTTCCTGCATTTAATAAAAATTACTCTTGTTTGAATCCAGTCTTTTCCTGTCATTCTGTGTCGGCTATCTTAATATATTTTATTTTATGCACTTGTTGATTGACCCCTTTTCCTCTCACTGTTCATTCACGCACATTTTTATCTTTTTACTTTGCTTGTAGACTCGGTAGTTTAGTGTGGTGTCTGGCACAAGGCCACTTCATAATAAACCAGCACTGCACACTGCCGGGTCTGCAACAAATGTTAAATGCAACGTCAATCGCCAGATTCTGTCCTTTTTTTTTTATTTCTGTTCTTTTATTTGTCTTTTCTCCTCACTAACTCCTCTTCCATCTACTTTCTCCTGTCACTATTCTCTTGTCTTCGTGGCCTTATAGCTTTGCTTAGGGTAAAATAGTTAAAAAAAAAAAAAAAAAAAACACATCCAAAAAAAGGGACACTGCACTTCGCGGGAGACGATATTCAGCTTGTCTCCGTCCTCATAACACTTTAAACATCAACCAGCACAAACAGAAATCCATCTCTATCTACCATTCTAACTTCTGTTCGTTGGCAGTGTGTGCCGTCGTTAAGAAGCCACGCAATATTCGATCCTCGTATCGATTTCTTGCACAGCAGTTCTGTTTGCTTTAGGCAGCTTTCCCAGCTTCTCCAATCTCATAGCAGTCGCATTAGGTGTGGGTGCCGCTGTTTTCGTTCAATAGTAGATATGTTAACAGCAATGTTTTTTTGCTGTATTCTCTTCTGTCTTTGCTAAGTAAGTGAATGGTTGGGTAGGCATTCAGATTGTTACGAAGAGGATGTGTTGGGGGGCGGGTAAAGTTTTGCGGGTTGTAGCAAGGCTGTAGAATTCAGTAAGTAGTTAATGTCTTGGCTTGGAAGTCCGTTGTACTACTGCTAGATCCCCAACTGTTATGATGAAGGTGGAATATTTCGAAGGGCAGTCGCAGGGGTAGAGGCAGAGAAATTTTGAGATGAGAAGAATAAGAAGGATAGATTTATTAATGGATGTAGAAAGAGAATGAAAGAGGAACGTGGAGGGTGTTGCAAAAGCAGGCATGGAAACGGAACGTGGAGGGTGTTGAAAAAGCAGGCATGGTTAAGCGGAATTGCGAAAATTCTCAATAACAATAAGAAGAGGAAGAAGAACAGGGCAAAATAATACGAGACAAGACAATGTAATGCAAGGCAACTATAAGAGACGAACGAAATAAAATGTTCACGAAAGGGAAATAGTGTTCACACGCAGATGGGATACAGTCAAGGCAAGGAAGAGAAATGTGAACGTAAGACTGAGAATTGTCCATTTTTATTGGTTAAAAAGAAATCCCAGGATGCATTTGTCGGATTTATTTAAAAATTTGGTTAGGGGTAATTTTTAGCAGTCATAAGGTTGGACAACTAAATAGATCGTAAAATGCAATATCAACAAAGAACTAACGTGAGGAAAAATAGCTTCTTTTTTCTATGTGCTGTGTCCCTTTGCGACGCTCCGCGATCGTGGCTCTCCACTATTTTCTGTCCTTTGCAGCTCTTAATAACTTTTGTCTTTTTGCCATCTCTCCCAAAACCCTGATCTGCCATCCATTTACTCAATATCGCCAGGTAAGTTATGCGTTGCTTTCCTCTGTCTTTCTTACCTTTAATCTATCCTGTGAGTAACACATTTCCCAAACCCTCTTTCCTCATTATGTGAGATTTCCAGCATTTATCTCCCTCCTCGTACAGCTCCATTATTGGCAATCCTGTTTCCACTGAGTTTGATTATAGCTGTAGTACCTGACCCAAGGATTGAACCCATATTTACAATGTGGCCAAAATCTTCTTCTGCGTGCCGTGTCTCTTTAGGACGTGGCCAATCATGGCTCTCCGCAACTTTCTGGTATTCTCAGCATCTTTATGTAGAAATGTGGTTCTACGTAAAGATGCTGAGAATACCATGTCTGTTGCTTCAAGTCTCTTCATCTGTGATGAGAAGGTCCAGTATTCACTGCAATAGAAGATAGACAGATACTACCTAACAGTTTAGTATTCTTTTCTTTGTTTCTAAAGATATTTTTCTGTTTCTTAATACTTTGCAAAATGTAGTAACCACGGATGATGAGCAGTCGATCAGCAAACTGGTAGATTCGTACGGATCTGTCGATAAGGAAGGTTGATAGACATTTTTAAAGTAAACGGAGAAAGAGAGTCTAGTGAATCGTTGGGTAGGGAGAAAGTTAAAGGGATTCGTTGACCGATAATGTAACGGTAAGTAAAAGAAAAGATTTGTAAATCGATAGATATGAGGTTAGACAACTCCTTCACCACAAACGAAACGTAACAAGCATATCGCTGCTCTAAGGCTATTTCCATGAAAAAAAATGTTCTTACGACCTCCATTCAGGACGTTCAACAGTTCAGACATTTACAGCTATGATTCGTCATGCTATATACACGAGGGCGAACCGTTTTCATTCCCTTCATATTCCATTAGTAAGAAAGAATCTTCATTTGGACAGCTTTTCTTCTTCTTTTTTTTTTTTTCTAAAAGCTGCTACTTTGTGGAACCGACTCCTGAAAATATGATTCTGCGAATTTTCACCTATCAACGTGTGTTCTCTCAAGGAGGCCTCGTGCCTTGAGCGCTTATTGGGACTTAAACTCAACCTAGATCTCAAGTGGAACACGTACATATGATCCACTGCTAAAGATACTGGAAAAATGGTTCCTTGTACCGCTCCAGTAAATATCTGACTCCTCTCCTGTTATCTTTTACCTTTACAAGCACCAGACCGAAAACTGAGCGCGTTTGCTATATATGGGCAGAAGCGAGCTGGTCAGTTTTTACCTTCAAGTCTCGATAGAATCCAAAACAGTCTCCCCGTCCTTGTGGGTGATGAATTATTTTCCACCCTACAACCCCTTTCTCGCAGACGAAATGCCGCAAGTCTTTCGCTGACTAGCTGAAATCTTTTTCGGTTGAACAGTCGAACTCTCTGCCTTTGAGCAGAGAGGAACCCGGATGAGGCTCAGTCGAATGGCAGTCTCATTCGGGGAGGTAGACTGCCCCTGAACCCGTTTATGCAGGTTCAAAAAGGGAATATTTTTGGCCGAGCCTACAGGCTCGGAGAACCCACATTAAATCGGCCTTGTGCCACATGCAACCCTCGTGGGTGGGTAGCTAAATATACTATCGCTGTTTCCATGGAAAGTGCTCAGACGAACTACATTTCTTAGTTCCACTTGTTCTAACCTTCACTACACTTAATTTCTCGTCTTATGTTCATACAACAACCTCATTTAGCAATCATCTACCTTGAGTGATTCTTGTACTGGGCGAACATTTAATAAAAATAAATGTAGAAGGACAGATATGTTGATTAATCGAACCTTGACCAGTGTTCAAAGCGAAGTAGAGAGAGCGGCAGTCCAGGGAGTCTTTGGAGAGGTAGAAAGAGAGAACAGTGAAACAAGGCAATACATAAAGACAGATTCGTTGACCAATTGTTAAATAAAGGAAAAGATTTGTGAATAAATAGAAAGAACAGTGAGAATGTATATGATATAAATTTCTCTTGTAGATTGATGTTGCAGAACTACAAAGAACTATGCCAAACCACATCAGTTGAGTTCTTTCAACAATACCAACAACTAAAATGAATATCATGTAACTCGAAGAGAAAAATAATGACATAATCAAGACGTTGACATTCCACACTACTTCAAATAAATGGTGCTTACGGCCATATAGCGTTGAAACACCGGTTCCCGTACGATCACCAAAATTAAACAACGTCGAAACTGATCAGTACCTAGGTGGGTGATCGCTTGAGAATACCAGGCTGTGTAATAATTGCTCGGAATTGTTAATCGAAAAGCAAAGTTCCAATTCCAGTTGGGTTCGTTATATTCACTTACGCTCAAACACTCTTGGGAAAGCTATGAATCCACCTTTTCTCCTCTCAGTTATGCGTTAATTAGTAGAACTTATATCACTAAATCATTATTATCTCAAAAAAATTCTTACAATCTGAAAATATTTTCTGGCTTTAACTAACCAGCAAACCGCTGCAAAAAACGATTCAATCAATCAAAAGGTTATGAAGGATACCATCATCAATACTAGAAAGAGCAATAACAGCTACTGGACTTGAGAAATCTATTTTCCTGAAAATTATCTTAAGTAAAAAATTTTATAAATTACAACTAAAACTAGTACTGGCTCCTCAGTCAATAAATGCCAAATGTTTCCTTATAAGTAAATGGCTAATATTATCGTTACCATATACCAATGAACAATGTCGGGTTATTGAATGATAAAATAGAAAAAACAATTCTACGTAACGCGTTTCGTCCTTTACAAAGACTTCATCAGACTAAGGTAATATTCTTATTGAAGTAATTATATATTTATAGGTGGAAGGGGGAGATATGTAAACGTCGATTATAATTATGCACTGCTGAAGATATATGGAAGCTAATTTTTTAAATTTCTGGCATCTGACGTGTCTTCACGCAACAACTCAGCCAATCTTATTCGGTCCTCCAATGCTTTTTGTTTTATTGCTTTTTATTTCATCAATAAGAACATTAATTTGATGAAGACCTTTTACAGGATGAAATGTGGTACATCAATTTTTTTTTCATTTTGTCATTCAATTGCACAACATGGATGAGTGAATGAGACTGTAGAAAAACACACATGTTGATTCATAGACCTGTGACCAGCAGATCAAACTAAGCTATGTGGACGAATATTACCAATTTTTTTTTTTATGTAAAGAACAACATGATTCAAGAAGAGAGAAAATATGTGTGTACACGGATAGCTGAAAAACGAAGAGAAACATAGGCCTCACTGTTAGAAACTGTATGTATGTGTGTTTGTGTGTGTGATGTGCCAAGTGGTTAGCTGAAATTAAGAGGATGGCCTGCCAGGGGAAGACATTCCTGTTGTTTTTGTCACTATGTTCTAGAAAAAAAATAGGAAGAGGACACATAATGAGGAAAAGGGGCTTAGAGAATTTGACACTTACAGGGCATACTGAATGCAAGTGAGACAGATTGAAACATCAAGCACCCTTTTGTAAATGAATGTCAGATCTGTGAGTGGAAAGGACAGTAAAATTGCAAATATTTTCCCAAATTGCATGTATTTAAGTGTGCTGCTAGGTTGGCATCTCGGTCCCACCCTTTCACTGTCAAAACGGCTAAATGTTGCCATCTCTTCTACTCCAACAGCTTCTTATCTCACACCTCCCATCAGTGGAACTCCCTTCCTATCACTTGCTTCCCTGATAGCTATAATCTTCAAATATTCAAATGTAATGTCAATCGACATCTTCTGATGCCTTGACCTTGATCCATTTCCTTCTCTTTATCCTTTTCCCAAACATTCCTCTTTACTCTTACTCTCTGTAACTCCTTGCATTCAAGTGGCACTCATGCCTTGTTTGGGGGGAATTGCTTAAAAAAAAAATAAATAAATAAAATATTTCTAAGAGCTACAAAGTTGTGGAGAGCCATGATAACCCTACATGAAGGGACTCAACACATAAAGGAAGAAATAGATGAGATCAAGTTGCCAATACATTGCTTTGATTTTGGGGGTTTATTTTGTGTTTTGTTTTCTTTAGAGATTATTTAAAGATTTAAAAGATGTTTCTTGCTTACGTGTGACAAGAATCAGTTGTAAATATCAAAGAAAGACTTGCAGATGAAATATTACTTAAATGTTGCTTCCATTTTTTGGTAGCACATGTAAAAGTAATATATTCCACAGTTCTACCAGTTCTGACTTTCACAGCTAAGACCTGCCATGGCATGTACACTCCAATGAATCATTTCCATTCTCTTCATATTCCATTAATAAAGAGGAAGTTCCACATAGACAACTTCTTCCCAAGAACTGCTACTTTGTGAAAAATATTCTCAAGTGGATGTTTTTCTGATTACTACAATCTTAACCTCTTCAAGTCTAACATTAGCCATTATCTATCCTACATATCCTCATAAACTGCACTTCTTACATCCTCTTCTTATGCTCATACAACATCATTCAGTAATCTTTTACCTTGAATGGCTTTTGGGCCTTGTTTTGTGGGAACATTTGTAAAAAAAGAATTCATTAACAAGTAAGTAGTGAATAATTATTTTACACAAGTGACATTCCTTTAATGTGGAATTAGTGAGACCTAAACACTTCAAATACCCCCCCATATATAGATTATTTGTAACAAATTTACCAGTGGAGATACAGAAATTGAATATAGAATAAGCTTTGCTCGATATATTTGCTACAAAAACAAAACATTAACTGACAAACTTGTGTCAGGTTCTTAAACAGCCTTTTCAATCAAGGCTTTTATGCAGATGTTATGCATGATGGCAATCTTGTTCAGAAATATCTAAAATGTTTGACATATATAACTACTTTCTTTGAGCAATGATTAAAAATGGATTCGTAGCTTATAGGTCTTAGCAAGGAACATCCTTCTTTGAACCTTTTGGACTGGTGCTACAGAATTGCAAAGAAAGAACTGTTCCAAATTACAAAAACCACATCAGTTTAGGCATTGCAACAACTAAAATGGATAGCACATGTAATTTGAAGAGAAAACAATGAAATAATCAAGATGTTGATATTCCACACTACTTCAAACAAAAGGTTAGGAAGGAAACCGCCATCAATACTGGAAGGAGCAATAACAGTGGACTTCAGAAACCTCTTTTCCTGAAAAATTGTTTGAAGAGAAAGATTTTAAAGACTTCAACTGACTCTAATACTGGCTGCTTGGTTAATGAATAAAAAATGTTTCCTTATAAGGAAACAGTTAATATTACCATTACCATGTTGAATGAGTTTGGATGTAAGGAGGAATTTTGAAATAGCATAAAAAAACTAAGGAAAATAACGTATATGAATGGTGTGAAACTTACCTTATTTATATATCTATATAGATGGGGGGGGGTGTAAAGAATAATTACAAAACTGAGAAATATACATAAGGGAAAGAGTAAATTGGAGAGACACAGAAAATGGGTAATGAAAGAGGAAAGAGACAATGGAGAGGAAGCAAAGGATGGGTTATCATGAGAGAAAGAAGAATACAGATTTCAGAGAAAGAAGGGAAAAACATTTACTCTCTGCAAAAAGCTCTTAAAATTAATTTTTTTTTTTTAATTAAAATATAAAAGCAAAAGCAAAGCATTTAGCTTGAAGCTTTTCTTTTTTTTTTTTTTTTTTTTTTAATTTCTCCATCATCATTACAAAGCAGCAGCAACAGACTTAACAACCAAGCGAAAAGAATCATGGGAAGGTGTTTCTCAACGAAAGCAGTTGAATGCACAAAAGAAAAAGAGGAAAAGTAATTCACTAGATGGAATTTGGAAAGACATTGCAAATAATTTTAAAATGAATCAAGCTGGGAGTGTTCAATGCCCGGTCTCCTGCTCATAGGCAATGAGAGACTGACAATTGTCAAAACAAACAGGGGGCATAAAAAAGAAATTGGAAGGAAATGAAAGAAATTTATTTTTATTTTTCTTATTTTGACAAATGGCTTTCTTTTTTAATCTTTGAACAAGTTTAAAAAATTTCACTCTTGAATTGTATTGAGTATTTCCACCTTATTTTTAGTCAGGAGATTAATTGAGGATGTATTAATTTTGACATAAATTTGGGGATTACTCTGCCTTTTCTGTTGGGGGCTTTTCCTAATGCCTGCTAGATGGCATTGCATAAAGCAGTATAAAAAGAAAGAACATAAACTCCTCTCTCTCTCTCTCTTTCTTCATTCACAGGATGCCATAGTGACAAGTGTCTCATTTAGATCTAAATGAGGTATTTTTTTAGTTCCTAGATGAACGAAATGTGAGGATTTTATTTTACAAAAACATATTTACAGTATCTCATATTCAAAATTATCTCATGCATCAACAATATTATCACCAATGCAACCTAATACATAAATATATAGATATAAATGAAGAAAATTAGGAAAGTGAGTTTATTTTTAGCTAATACATTTGTCCCATAGTTAATGAAAGCAAATGTGAGGATTTTATTTTGCAACAAAAGTTAAAATGTTGTTAGTTTTACAAAATTTTTCAAATTTTAGAAATGCTCATAAATATTCATCAGAAGGCACTTTCAACTTGGTTTATTGGTTAAGTCAACATTGTCTGAACTAGTCCAGTTAGGACTCGTTGTTTTTATTGACCCCCATTTAATTTTTTTTTTTAACAGGAATTTTTTTGGCCTTTATGCCACATCTAAAATACACATTAAAAAATCATTCTCTCTTTTAATATTGTTAGCATTCTTTAAAATTATAAATTTGTAATGGTTTTAGTATAAGTTTGTGTTCCTCATTTTTTTTTGATTATGACTGAATAGTGAGTTTGATCCTTAAAATAAATGGGAATTTAATCATTTCTTTTAATTTTTTTCAATATGGTTGTAATTATTTTGAATCTTTTTTTAAAAACATCTAAGGTTACAGAATTTATTTGCTGATAGAAAAAAAATCACCATATTAATATTATCTTGATATGGGTAATTTTTAATTTTTAAAAATTTTTTTTTTTTTTTTTTTAGTTAGAAACCAATTATGACCAGCTCCTCGGAGTTGTGAGTTCAACCTCACTTGAAAAATTTAATTTATTTGTTTTGTGCTGGCTACACATCTTGCTTATTGCAAGTTTTGAAAATCACCATGAATATTTATCAGGTTAAATGAAAATTCTAGGTAAATTATTTAATGTCTAATAAACAAACATGAGGAAATGACGTTGAATTTTTTGCAATTAACTTCTTTTTTTTTTAAATAACAGGAATTTGGGA